TATTGATGGTTTAGCCTGTGGTAAGATGAGGGTGGGGAATGGTACAAGAATCAACCAGTCAAATGGCCAAGGGTTTAAGTGCCTGCTATGCACTATCCCCCAAGACTTTGCAACAGAGGTGAAAACAGTTTGTGCCTCTGGGGAGGTGAGAACCTTACAGGATTTGCCACTGGAAGGCCTGGGTGGTCACTCAGTTCGGACAAGACTGCAGAGCAGTAAAATATTATCATTGTGTGACCTTGGGCAAGATATTTTTAAACCTCCTTGAACCTCAGTTTCCTCAAGTGTAAAAGGGAGATAATTGGGCTTGAAATTCCCCAGGTTCTGTTTGAGTGTATTGGTGAAAGTTTCTGATGAGGGATTATTGCGAGGGGATTTGTAGAGAGAATCCATTAGATTGTGAGCTCCTTGAGGGCAGAAGCTGTCTTTTGTCTCTTTTTTGTATGTCCAGTGTATAGCACAGGGCCTAGTGCACAGTAGGCAATATATACCTGTTTGCTGACTGACTGAGAAAGAATCCTTCAGTGAAATGAATCACCAGCCCTTGATTATATTTCATCTATACCTAGATTTTCTTTCATTTTCTTTCGTTTTGTTGTTGTTCAGTCATGCATGACACGGTGACTCCACTTGGGGTTTTCTTGGCAAAGATGCTGGAGTGATTTGCCATGTCCTTCTCCAGCTCATTCTATAGATGAGGAAACTGAGGCAAGCAGGGTGAAATGACTTGCCCAGAGTCACACAGCTAGATTTGAACTCAGGAAGATGAGTCTTCTGATTTCAAGTTCAGTGCTCTGGGCACTATGGTGCCATCTTTGCTCAAATCAAGGTTGTCTGTAAACAGGGCAGTCAGTCAGTGAGACAACCCAATGGGACAGGGCAGGGGCTATTTTACTTATTTCATTGGACCCCAAACCCCAAGAACAGTGGCTGGCACAGAATCCATCTTTGATAAGCTGATTGGTCCATTGTCTTTATGTTTTTGTCCTCATTGCTTGGCACAGAGGGGGAGCTTGATGAAGGCCCCCTTGTTGCCTGGTAGTGTGGAATCCCAGAAGTCTAGCTCCCTATCTGAACCTTGAATAGCTCCCTTGTAGGATCTCGAGTGAAAAGGGACCTTAGCGTTCACCTAGGTCCACCAGCTGGTTTCACAGATGAGGAAACTGAGGTCCAGGGAGGGAGACCTAACCCAGGTTAGTGGCAGAGCTGAGACTTCACATCAGACCCTTGAACTGTGGATTCTACAAAGTGGCAGCTAGTCCAAACCTCTCTTTTTACCATCGAGGTAACAACAGAGTCCCAGGGAGGTTGTCCAATGTCACACGGGGGCACTGACCTGCACTGACGCTCCTGGTGCTCAGGCTTGTGCTCTTTTTGATGGTCCCCTGGGCTTCCTTTTAAATCAGGCCCCTAGACAAAGATGGCATTGGACAGAAGGAGAGGTTGGCAAGCCTAGGCTTGTTGCTGATATCATAAAGGGCATCCAGGCTTCAGCTGGGACTCAGACTAGATGCCACCATCATCCCTTCCAACTGGGAGAATCTCTGATTCTTGGGTTCTGTGAAATCTTGGGAATAGCTTTCAAACACACATGTCCAATGACCGGGAAACACATGTACGTTTTCCCCCTTGAATTTTTATAAAAGCGCAGTTAAGTTTACAGGCAGGGTTCCAGTAACCAGTATGTTCCCTCTCAGTTCCTTTTATCCATCAAATCTTAACCCGGTCTTCAGCAGGCAGCCTGCTGTGAATTTTATATTAAACCTGATTCTGTTTTCGCATACCCCAAATAAACCATGACCACAAGTGGCTAAGGGCTCAAAACCAGTCTCTAAAAGAACACCTGGAACGGGATGTATTGATTGTTTGGGATATGGGCCCCCAAATCTGGCTTGTATAAAATGTGAATGGGCTTTATAATTGGGGGTGTTTGCATATAAAATGGATTTTTAAATTTTCAAATAAACCTTTAGGAGTGGGGCGTCTTGGGGGGCTGTGGCCTTCAGCCCCAATGCAGTATTTAGTTTGGGAACTGTTTTCCAAATCAAGCTCCTTCTTGGGAATCAACAGGGGAAAGGCTTCTTGGGTTGACTCTTGGCCCTTCGGCAGCCTGGCTTTGTGACCTTGGGACAGTCCCTTGACCTCTGAACCTTTCCATTTCCTTACCTGTAAATTCGCGGACAGTCATACTGAAAACATGCAGGAACGGTCTGAGTTAAGGATGGAAGGAGAGAGGGGCCTTTGGTGGGCCCTTGGAGTGGAGACACAGAGAATAAAGAATAAAGTAAAGATTAAAGAATAACTTGGACCTCCCTGTAGACTCCAAGAATCCCTGCTTTTATGGGGCTGGGGAGGGAAGCTGGGATGAGCCATCCTTGGATTTTGGTTTCTGTTTGTTATTTTTTTGCTTCCTCCAGAACCATTTCATCCCCATGAAGATTTGAGCCTGGGGCAAATCAATTAATCAGTCAAAGCATTTAACCTTTTAGGGGATGCAAATCACATTGAATTGCCTCCTCTCAGCCCCCACGTTTTTCCAACTTGGAACACACATCTTGGAATCCCAGCTCAGCTCCATATTGTCTGGGCCACCTTGGGCAGGCCCTTCTGTCCGGGCCTATTTCCTTCTTTGGGATGTGAAAGGGTTAGATCAGAAATCTGGTCTCCTCATCCTTCCAGCTTTTGAATTCTATATTCTAAACCCTGTTCTGAGGCCAAATGCAAGCATGTTCGGAAGGCAGCTTGGAGAAGGGATGTCACCCAAGGGCAGCTGAGGGCTAGTGAAAAGGGATGGAGAGGCAGGCCTTGGGGATGGTGGGAAAGAGAAGGGATGGAGGGCCTAAGTCCTGGTGCAGGGGAGTTCTTCTGGACCAATCCGACCTCATTGGAAGGCCTGAACCAGATAAAAACGTCCCTGGGAAATACTGAACCAAATAAAAATGCAATAGCGCATAGTACTCTGGAGGTGTGGTTTTTCTAAGTCAACAGGCCATCTGCAGGGATCCCAAGTACCGGTTGACCAGCCTCTGCTTCTCTGACACCATTGGTGTGAGGAGCTCTCGGACAAGAGGGTGCTTTTGCCGAGGCACGTGGGCACTTGCTTTGCGCCTTCCACTAAAGTAGTTCGTGGAGCACAGAGAGGCGAATTGATTTTTGCCCAGGGTCACTGCAAGAAAGTATCTGGAACAGAATTTGAACTCAGGGCTTCCCGACTCCAGGTCCACTGGAAACCTGCCTCATTTATGCATCCGTTTTCCGGTTGTATCAATGACCTCTCACCTCTCCATGACTTCCCGGAGAGCAGGAAACCTTCACCCTTGCTTTGTCCTGGTAGCCCCACAGCCGGGATAATACCAGGTACGCAGTAGGAGCTAAAAAAAAGATCTGTCCAGCCAGGCCTGGATTCAGATCCCCCAGGCCAAGGCATTGCAGGCTTCAGACTCGAGTCCAGTCCCCTCTGACTCTGAATCCCGCGTCATTTCCCACGGCCTCGGCCAGCCCTTCCTGGGTTCGGGTCCCAGGCTGTGAGATCTGGGCCAGACATTTCATTGGTCCCAGGGTCCTCTTCATGCGTAACCTGCGGTCAGATCACCTTGGATGACTCGCGCACTAGTCCCAGGGCTGTCGGGAGGAAGGTGTTGGGATAACGGGCGGTGCCCCTCCTCGGCTGGACCAGCCCCGACTCCCTCCGTCCCTCGGTGACTTCCTGGCCTCGATACGCCTCCCTGTCTTGTCCCGATCACCTTTTCGGGCAGCCTGGAGAAGAAGGAGAGAGTCTTGTGGCCAGGGGGTAGGGCAAGGATCGCAGGGGATGAGAAGCGCGTAAAGGCTGTAGGCTCTGGGTTCGAATGCTGGTGCTGGTGCTACTTGGGTGACACAAAGCGAGTCACTTGTCTGTGGCTGGGCTCCTTCCGGCTGAATCACTAAACCTCGGTCCCGAGGCGGGGCGGTCAGAGTCCCCACGCTCGGCCCCGGAGCACGCTCCACACTGCCGCAGGACAGGGTCTCTGACACGCCGCTCCTCCCGCCCCCGAGGCAGGGCAGGCCCCTCCCCGCGCGGGGATTGGCCCAGGGGCCCCCCTGCCGGGCTCGGGAGCCCCGCCCCCGCCCGCCCCCTGTCCCGCCGCTCTGGCTTGGGGCTCCGGCGCCCCGGCGCTCGGCTCGCTGGGGGCAGCGGCAGCACTCGGGCTGCGCCTCGCCGGGGAGGGCAGGCCGGGCTGGGGAGGGGAAGGCAAGGGAAGGGCGGACGAGAGCCAGGCCCAGACGAGCCGAGCCGGCAGCCCGCCTATGCGCCCCGAAAGTCGGCCCGGGGGGGAGCACCTGGCCCGGGCCCGGGGCAGCCAGCAAGGTGAGGAGCTGGGAGCCGGGCGCCAGGGGTGGGGGCCTCCCGGGCCGTGTCGCTGCCTCGGTGGGGCGGACGAGCTGACGGACAGGGCCCCCCGCGGCGGGGATGGGCTCCTGGAGGCCGCCTTTCTGGGGCGCAGAATGTTGCAACGTGAAACAATGTAGCGGGTGGACGCTTAGCGGCGGCCTTAGCGCCCCGGACGCCTCTTTTTACAGAGGGGGAAACTGAGGCTCAGAGATGCCGAGGGAGACTCTCCCAAGGAATCGGGACCCGGGGCCCCTACTCGCAGCAGCCCTGTCGTGGAGCTCGGGATCTAGCCTTGGCTTCGGGCGCCCCACCCCCTTGGAGATTGTTTATTTCTCTTGGGTGGGTGGGGGCTCGGGTTCGAGTCCTCGATCTGACCCATGACCTCTGGCACCTAGCGTCCCCCCCCCCCCCAGCATCTAGAAGATCGGACTGGGCGATCTCTAGGTGCTCTTCTCTCTGCAGACCCTTCCCCTGAGTTTAGCGCGTCCGGGTAGCCGGCTTCCCGGGGGAGGGGATCTGAGCAGGTGGGTTCTCCTAGAGCCCTCGTTAATGCCCCCGCGGGGCTCTTCTCCGTCCCGCAGGAGGAGCCCCGGCGTGATCCCGTGTGCGCGCCCCCCACGCGCGGACCATGCATTGCGAGGTGGCCGAGCCGCAGAAGCCAGGTGCGCCTTTCTACGAGGTGCTGGTGGCCAAGCGGCCCGGGCCCGGCGGGTCTGCCGGCGGGCCGGGTGGCGGCAACAGCCCCGCGGGGGCGTCCAAGGAGCTGGCCCCCGGCCCGGGCCACGGGCGAGCAGCCGCCGCGGCCGCGGCCGCTGCCGCCTTCCTGCACTCTCCGATGGCCTTCAAGATCACGCTGAGCGCCGGCGGGGCGGGGGGCGACGGGCCTGAGCAGCCGCCGCCGCCGCAGCCGGCCCGGGGCCCGCGCGACATCGGGCTGCCCCTGCTGGAGCAGCTGCTCCCCAAGGGCCCGGGGCCGCTGCCCGCCCGGCCCAGGAGCCCCAAGGACTTCTTCCAGCAGAAGCCGCAGCCGCCCGGGACCAAAGGTGAGTGAGAGCCGCAGAGCGCCCGGCTGCCCGTCCCCTCCTCCGCACGCGCCCCCTGGCATCTGGCACGGCCGGGCTGGCGGCCGACAACTTCCCCCAAAGTTCCCCGGCTCTGTGGTTGGGGACTCCCGTGCCCTGGCAGCCAGTGGGGCAGAACAGATCGGGAGGCCGGACCGACGGGCCGCCCCCTCCCCAAGTCTGTATTCCTGGTTGGTACCAGAGGGATGTGCGTGTTTGGGGTGGGATATGAGGCCACGTCTAGTCCTAGGAAGGGTCTAAATGTGCCGGAGATGACAACTTGTGGGGGTAGTGGGGGCAGTGGGGCAAAAACCCAGCAGAAGTTCGCTGAGTGCTGGTTAAACCCCCGCTGACCTTGGCTCGGTCTTTCTAAAGTCAGGACTTGTGTTGTGGGGGCGGCCTTTGGAAGCCCCCACACTCCACCCCCATCACTCCTAGTTACCAGCCCAGGCACTGATTTCTTTCACCAGAAAAGGTGGGGTGCTGCCGGAGCAAAGACTGGTTAGGAAGTGTCTAATTTGTCTAATTTGACTGTGATCATGGGGAGGGCAGGTTTGCATGGAGAAAGCTCGTGTTGTATAATTAGGGGCCTGGTGGTGTCTACCTGATAAAGGCCGGTGCAAAACTGTCATGCCTGTGTTCCTATTTGGACTTTTTCGTGTGTGTGCGCACACAGATGTGGGCAGGCGGGTGTGTTTGGGGAGGTAGGCCCAAGGAGGGTATTGGGAGGGCTTCAGCTTCTTTCCCCCATCCGTGTTCCCCAAAGGTATCCCAGCCAGGCATTCACCCTCTTCTCCCTCTCAGGCTTCCCAGCCCCCTGGGGTGGTGTTCGATGGTGGGATGTCCCCCAGCCCAGACCCATCTAGGATGTTAGGGACTCCCTGTGCCCATCCTGAGCTTAATTAGAGGCTATGGGGGAGGAGGGGGGGGGCTGTGGACATGTTCTTCTCATCAGAGTTAATTATTATTGAGCAGAAATTTATAGAGTTTCAGGCTTGGCGATAAATTAACCAGAGGTTCTTAGTTGCTCTTTGAGCAGGGGATTTTGGGGGGAAACTACAGGGCTGTGTGTTTGGACAGCTCGGCAGTCATGTTGTTGTAGCAACCAGCTTTTGGGAACTCTCTGTTTAGAGAGATGACACATCCCATTTCCAGGTAATTCCTCAGGAAGAGCGAGAGAAGACAGTTTGTGTGCACAGGGCGAATGGGGCTGAGCTGTGGGTCTCCCTCAGGCTGGGCCCACCCAGCCCACTCAGAGGACTCAGCAAATGGGGGCCTTCAAGCCCCTTTCCTCAAGTACCGAGTGAATGCCCAAACTGGGGATTTTGAGTGAAGTATTGAGAAAGGTGGTGGCAGTTCTTTTAAGCAGATAACAGATACACACAGAGCTCTGGTCTCTGCTGTTATCACTGTCATCCATGGGGCTTTCCTTCTACGGAGAGGATGGGGACAAAGGCCCGATGCTGTGGTAATGCGGTTGACTTTGGCTCCCTGCTGATGGCGAATAATTTATTCAAAGTGGCTCGTCACTGCTGAGCTCATGCAATAAAGGAGTTAGGAGTCTGAGCTGAGAGGAGACTTTGACTTGGCCTTCTCCCTTGGGCCTCCCCCCATCATCTTCTAGAGAAGTACTTATTTATCAGCAAGAGTTGACCAGAAAGTATATTCATAGGATTGCAGGATTTGAAGTTGAAGGGACCTTAGAACACTGAGCAGATATTGTCAGAGCTGGGATGGGCCTTAGAACAGGGGATGGCAGAGCTGGGAAGGAGCTCAGAACAGGAGTTCTTAATCTTTTTTTTTTTTGTCATAGACTTCTTTGGCATTTTGGTGAACCTGAGGGACCATTTTTCAGAATGATGTTTATAAATACATAAAATAAAATATATGGGATTTTAAAGGAAACCAATTATATTGAAGTACAGGTATCAATTTTTTTTCTTAAAAACTAAGTTCGGAGGCCTCTTGTTAGGATTCTCTGCCTTAGAACATAGATTGTCAGAGCTGGGCAGCACCTGAAAACCTCAGAGATGAATGGAACCTGAGAACTCTAGGTGTCAGAGCTGGAAGGAGTCTTAGGGATCAGGTAGCTCAACCCACTCATTTTACTTTAGAGGAAACTGAGTCCCAGAGGCAGTTGGTGAATCGGCCAAGATGACAGTCACCAGCAGCAGAAAGCAGACCAGTGTGCTCTGTGTACAGACGCATCTACTTTTCTCTAATAAGCGTTGAACGAGACTCTGTGGGGCTGTTTGTAGGCCAAAGCCTTTCCTGGTCTCAGCCACTGCCGTGTTCCCAGACTTTGTTTTGGTTCTAGGCTGGGGTTGGAAAGCCCCTGGGTTTGTGCCCCAGGCCGAAATCTTTGAAACAGGATTTTCCTTGAGGAAGAAGTTGTTAGGGACAAGAGCACTGGATTGGGAGGTCACAGGCCTGGATATGAAGGCTCATGTCTGCCACTGACTCTCTGTGTGACCTTGGAAGAAATGACATCTTTTGGAGTCCCAATTTATTGGATAGAGTCATCGGGTCCTTAGGATTTAGCAGTCTATGAATTTCCCCATGGAGCTATGGACGAAGAAGGAAAAAGCCCATGCTTTTAAAGCCCTGCTAGTGTTTCCTTCATCCTCCTACAATGATAGGAGGACAGGAGACCCGACAGGGCTTATCCTCCTACAGATAAGGGTTTGGGACTGGAAGGGGTAAAGTGAAGTGTTTGGGACCAAGATTGAGAACCCAGGTCTCCCGAGGTCCAGGCCCGGAGTTTGCCCTGCAGTGAGCAGCCTCTCTTTTCAGGGCTCTGGAGCCTCCCAGCTACCTCTGAGAAGATCTCCCATTTATCCTGTAGATATCTAACTTGTATTTAGTCGTTTGCCTGTTGTCTCATCTGTGTGACTGTCAGCTCCATAAAGGCAGTGACTGTTTTTGTCTTTCTCAGCACTGCTATACCCCAGCCTGCCTACCTGACCTGAAGCAAGAGGCTTCAACTCTCAGGGCCTTAGGCCTCTCCCACTTCTGACATTCCTTGTTCCAAAAGCCCTCCCAGCTTTAATATCCTCTTTTCCAAAGGCCCTCCCAGCTTTAATATCCTCTGTTCCGAAGGCCCTCCCAGCTTTAATATCCTCTGTTCCAAGGGCCCTCCCAGCTTTGACATCCTGTGTTCTAAGGGCCCTTCCAGTTCTGACATTCTCTGTTCCAAGGGCCCTTCTAACTCTACCATTCCTTGGTATAAGGTAACTGAGGTTGGGATGGAGAGAGGGTGAATCCTTTTAAAATAAAAAAGCTGAGAGAGCTTTGGGCCAGAATACTGGCAGCTGCAGAACATCAGGACAAGTCCTGAACACATTATTCCTTGGTCCAGGGTTAGATTACAGATGATCAGCCCTCTGCCTGCGATTCATCCCTGATAAGGGGCTGGATCAAGGGCCTTCCAGTTGAAGTGGAGAGTGTATCTCTAAACATCGTGGTCAGATGTGGTTTCCAGTTTGGGGCAGCAAGAGCCAGGAAAGCTGCAGTGATATTATCACTGTTAACACTAATAACCATTTAATGTTTACAGTAAACTATTTCTTGGTTCTCTTTTTCTAGAGGCCCTGAGGGTCAGCGGAAAGAGCCCCAGAAGGAGAGCTGGGGGTCTGGGTCCAGTTCTGACACTTGCTTATATGTCTCTAATTGTTCACATGTTATCTTTCCCACTAGAGTATAACCTCCTTGAGGACTGGGACTGTTTTTTTCTTTTTTTTCTTTCTCTCTCTCTCTCTCTCTCTCTCTCTCTCTCTTTTTGGCCTTTCTTGGTTTCTGTTGGTATAGTGGAATCAGGAAGATCTGAGTTCACATATGACCTCAGACACTTACTAGCTCTGTGACCCTGGGAAAGTCACTTTACCTCTGTCTGCCTTAGTTTCCTCAGCTATAAAATGGAAATAAGACTAACATCTACCTTGAAGGATTGTTGTGAGATAGTATTTGTAAAAGTGCTTGGCATATAGTAGGAACTTAATAAATGTTTGTTTTCTTTCTTTCTTCTCTCCTTGGTTTCTCCAGGGCTTAGCATGGTGCCTGGCATATGGTTATCACTTATTAAATTGTTTGTTGAATGAATTTGGGCAAGCTATTTCTCCCAGATGTGCCTCAGTTTCCCCTTGTAATATAAGTCTATCGGACCAGGTGATAATCTTTTTTTTTGTTGTTGTTGTTGTTTTTGGGTTTTTTTTTTGTTTGTTTTTTGGTGAGGCGATTGGGGTTAAGTGACTTGCCTAGGGTCACACAGCTAGTAAGTGTTACGAGGTGATAGTCTTTGAGAGCCCGTGTGGCTAGAAGGTTGGATGCTCTAAGAATCCACGTCCTCAGGTCCTGTTCTGCCCTGAATCCCATGGTCTCATGGTTAGGATTCCCAAGGGCTCCTAAGCAGCCACCATGTGCTGTGGGAGATGTGCTTTGGTTTTGTTCTTAACCTACCCTCTGCTCTGACTCAGGGATGACTGGTGAAACAAACATCTGTCAGGGAGAGAGCAGAAGGAGGCTCTTGCTGGGTTCAGACCAGGCTCTGGGCAGGGCCTGCTTGTGGAGCTGGGCAGCTTAGACCTTTGTTAGCTGAAGTTTACAGATGGGCAGACTGGAGCTTGGAGGCCAGATTAGTTTGAGTAGTAAAAATGTCCCTGAGGAGATTGGAGAGATGTCAGGTCAGTTGTTCAAGACCCTCCTTTCTCAGTTTCCTGTTCAATGAAATGAGGAACTTGAACTAGGTGTTCTTTAAGGGCTATTCCAGCTCCACATTCTATGATTTGAGGATCTCTCTTCTCAGGCCCCTCCCAGCTCCAACATCTCCTGTTCTCAGGCCCCTCCCAGCTCCGACATCCCCTGTTCTCAGGCC